CAATAGTTGTAAAATTCTATCAACATTAACCCAATAATTTTATCAACAAATCTGAAAGAATTAATTTTAACAGCTTCATTAGGGTAAACAGTATCCACATATTCAACAACAAGATAAGATTTCAATATTATTTCTTTATTTACGTTTTTATTTTCAACCAGAGAAAAAACAAATTCCATATAGACGTTTTTGTGTGATAGGATGGGGGCACAAGAAACCAATAAGAATAATCCACGTGGCTGTAATGTGCGGTTCTTATCACAACCCATTTGTGTTGTGTTGTGTCGTGATAAAAGAAAAACCCTAGAGGCGCGTGGTGTTCACGGCACTTGCTTTTACGCGCGTGTGGGCACGTTTCGTCCGTGGCGCGGGTCGGGGAAAGGAACGTCGGCACGGAGGAGGAGTGAGATTGGAGCGTGAGGTGCACGCGAGAGGAGAGAGAGTGAGGGTAAAGATTGTGGGACCAGTGAGCAAAAATAAAAGCCCTAAAAGCATGATAATATTGTATGGGTAGGTGATGTTACCCTAGATGAGCCCATTTCCTCATTTATTGAATTAACCCTAACACTCTTTTTTGTTTTACCCCTTCTCGGGAAATTTACCACCGTCAAAAATAAAGAAAGATTTTGTTCACATATACGATTTTTTAATTAATATTATTATACGTGTTTATATGTATGTAAGTTTTGTGTATGATAGAGATGTGTGTGTGTTTTTTATAATTAATATCTGTTTTTTTCGGTGGTAGAATCATCACATGGTACAACCAACCTAATGTGATACTCTATGATGATGTAAGCAAAAGTTTAACAAAAGAAAAAAAAAACTTTGTTTTTCTTTAGACCTTTGCATATTCGATATATAGAGTAATTAATTGGATGTTGACTTTACTTTTTATATCAAATTCTTCGGTGTAATACAATTACATGATACAAATCTAGATCTAATACGTTTTTTCCTTCTTTTAAACTTGCACGTATTGGCACATATATAGAAGTGAGTATCATTAAGGTGTGTTATTTATTTTACAAACGTATACTAATAGTCTAATAAAATAATATTAGACTATAACTCTTCATCTGATGAGGGTAGAACAAGATCAAGAGCTAACCTTGGTGAAAATAAAATAATGGAACAGGTAAAAGAATACATTGCATCTAAGAGAATAATAGTATTATATAGTTAGATGAGTGATGACCTTTAGTGGGCTTTTTATCGTTTATGTATAACACCTTTCTCTCTCCTTGTTACTGTATTTTTATAATATTCCTTCTTCGGTAAATTGTGTTTTTATTTTTTCCTAGTTTTTGTCGGCTTTAAGGTTTTAATAATATTATTATCTCCATAGAAATTTAGGTTTTTTACTTTAGTTTTCTTTTGGGGAAATAAATATTTTTTTTTTGGGTATGAATGTTAAGAAATCTTCTTTTCTTCCCACTACCATGTATGTAATATTGCCAACCTAAGATCATTTTTTCTTGTTTGACAAATTGTGATGTATACCAGAACGTGTTAGCTAGTGATCCACTTTGATTTTCTGGATATGAGTAATATTACCCTTTTATCTGAAAATTACACACTACATACCTTGTCTAAATTTCTAGCTAATTTTCATAATTAAATGCACAACTTTACGGAAAATTAAAGGAAACTTAGAACATATTCGTTATGAACTTATGATTAATTAAAGCGAGAGGAACCTATCTTCAACCAACCAAAACATTTTATCTACAAGGTATACATAAATCGTTTTTTTTTTGTCACAAGGTATACATAAATCAGGATTCATAATATTTTTGAACATTATCATCACACGTATTTGTAACTGAAGAAAGGATCGGAGATTAAGTAATACTACTATATATATAATTAATGGGATCCACTTTTAGGTTTGCATACGTGCACAACTGCGCATTAGTAAGT